TTAATATTCCAAAACAATTACTAATGATAATTGAATTATTTTCTTTATCTTCTTTTAATTCTTCACCAATAATTTGGAGAATCGAATTAATAAAATCATTATTATTGATACTTTGTTTAGTGCAATAATATATTCCATTATACAACAATTCTTTTATTTCTCCTTCTGATTCTTTAATTCGATTTAAATAATATTGAATAATAAGTTCTTTATTTTCTTTAATAGTTAAATTACAAATAATTTGATTAAGTATTCTTAATAAATACTTTTGTATTTGATTGTTATTGTAATATTTTCCACTAATTGTCATTAACATTGTCCAAATTTGTTTATCAATAATATTTGTTATTAATACTTCATCTCCTTTAATTATTCTACATAATAATCTCATTGAATATTCAACAATATCCTCATTTGTTGAATATTTATTTAATACCATATTTGAATATCCAAAATAGTATTGTTTATTAATAGTTTTATTTCCTGTCATAATCATAAATTCGTAAATAACAATTGTCAAGGAAATAAGTGCTTCTGTTTCAAATTCATTAGGAAATGTTTTAACGTAATCTACTATTAAATTAATTATTTTCTCCTTTTTAATAACTGGTAAACAATATGTACAAATTGCAATCCCAATAACATTAAGTTGTTCTACTTCTTTATTATTATCAATTGTTTTGATTGTTTCTTTGATAATTGTTTCAATGTTTTCTCCATTAATATTTTCAATATTTTCTCTGATAATATTAAATACAATACTTAAATTACTTATATTTTGGTCAACAAGCTTTCTATTTTTCTTAATATTCTCTATAATACTCATAAGTGTTTTTTCAATATTATCCTTCTTCTCCATCTCTTCTTTTTATTTATTTTCTATTTTCTAAGTTCTTTTCTCAGTTCTTGTTTTATCTTTCTTCTTTCTTCATTTAATTTTGATTGGTCTTCTTCTTCATTACTTACTTTCTCTTATTCTTTTAACTTTATTGTTTTATTTTCTTTTATACACCTTTCTTATGAAAACTACATCTGAGTCTTCTTTTTTTTCATCTCTTGAAAACCGTTAGATAAATACTATTTGTATTAGTAAATATTCTATTCTCTCAAAAATGATTCTTTACTGGTCAAAATTCACCATTTATTTCAATGATAACAAAACTATGAACCAAATTATTTAAACTAACTAATTGCTATCTTGAAATTTAAAGATATGATTAAAAGTGCAGATGGTAAGTCTTTCATCACAAAACGTCCTGCCCTTGAAGTGGTTGAACCCCCACAAGCTAAATTCTTATTAGTCACTTTATTGATAATTGTCATCATTGCATTTTCTAATATCGTCATCATGGCATCAGTTTAGTAGATGAACAAATACCTAAAATACCGTCTGTTCACTTCTTAATTTATTTAATTTATTATCCCTTCTCATTTTTATCACTTTTTGATATAAAACTAAAATCCCCTTTAATTTAATAAATTAAATGAATTGTTGGTAATCACACTCAAACTGAGCTTTTATAATTGAGTTATTTCGTTTCAACAAACAATTTTTGATTGTCTGAGTTGAAATACTCCTTCGAGACACATCTGCCAATTTAAGTGCCATAAAGATGTCACCTTGAGATAAGTAGATATTAATCAACTCTTCATAATTATTTGTTCTCTTTAATATGTCTAACCCAGCGTAAAACAATGCACTAGACTGAGACTTGCACGAAATGAGTTTCATAGCAACTGCTTTATTGTCTGGGATTAAATGATATTGTAATAGTTGAGTCAACATATATTCTTTTTTTGTGTTTATTGATAAGTCAATTAATTTAAAATAAATTTCGAGAGGAATTAAGATTTCACGATATGTTGGAGTAGTGACTATTTGAAATAATATTTCTTGAGTGTTTTCTAAGGAAATATTGGATAAGTCTATTATTAAAGAAAGGTCATAAACAGTGAAATGTTGGCTATTGTGTTTAGAACCAATCAAAGTAATGATTGCTTGGACAATACCTTTCATTTCCTGGAGATCACTATTTTGAAAAATCTCTGAGCAATAAGCTTGAATACCGTCCTTGTCTTTTCCTTTCAGTACATCAAGAAATGATGTTTTCATATTTGTTAGAATGGACATTTACTATCACTAGATATATTCATTTTAAAAAGTGTAATGAAATTTCACATTACTTTTCTTAGAGAACTTTCATTAAAAAAATCAATTATTGTTTAAGTTATAAGCATTTGGGTCAAATGAAACAGAACATGATACATCTTTTACTTTATATACTCCCATCAATCTATCTGCTAATTCAAACATCTCTGGACGTAATGAAATAATAGTGAATTGAGCATTTTTTGTACGTTCTTTAATATAATGAGCTATAATACTAACATTTCTAAAATCTAATGCAGCGTCTATTTCATCCATAACATAAATGGGTGTTGGTTTGTAATGGTGCAAAGCAAATATGAGTGCTAATGAACTTAAGGTCTTTTCTCCTCCTGATAAATTAGTAATATTTTTCCAAGCTTTTTTTGGTGGTCTAACACTAAACACAACACCTTCAGTAAATGGGTTTAATGTATCAACCAGTTCAAGTTCAGCAACACCTCCTTGTGTCAATAAATAATACATTTCTTTCAATTTGAAAGATATCTCTGTCAATCCATTTATAAATTCATCAAAACGTTTTTTCTTCAATGCCTCTAATGTTGATTTACAGTCTTCTTGTTTTTTTATAGCTTCATTCATTATATCCCATTTTTCTTGATACTCTTTGTTAACTTTGATGAAAGTTGCAATAATTTTCAAATTAACATTTTCTATCATATTTTCAATTTTTTTCTTTTCGTCTTCTATCATAGCCAATACCTCTTTTCGATTAATTTCTTTTAATTCATCCACAACATCTTTAAGTGAAATACCAACAATTCGAATTTTTTCTTCATCCATTTGATTATCTGTTTCATTATGATTTAACATATTTTTAATATATTCGTCTTCTTCATGAATTTCAGCAATATGTAATAATTCCCGAATATGTTTAAAAATGGAACGAATTTCTTTTTCACAATGTTGTCTTTTTTCAGTTAACTCAGAGTTATTTCCATTAATCTCTTCGATTTGTTCTTTGATTTTATCTTCTTCAGTTTCTAGTTCTTCAATCTTTTTAAGAAGAATTTCATACTCTTCTTCGATTTTTTTTAATTCATCAGTTTTTTCGTTTAATTCTTTCTTTGTAAGTTTCATTTGTGTTTCATCAATTTTTATTTCATCTTTTTCCATTCTATTTTTCAATTCTTCCAAATGAATATTCATTTCTTTAAGATAACTATTCCATTCATCAATTTTACTTGTACTCCCACTAATTTCTAATTCTATTCTATTATACTCTTTTATACTTCTTTTATTTCTTTCATTTATATCTTGTAAATTTACTTTAATAATTTTCACATCAATCCCCTCTAACTTTTCTAACTCTTTTTGTTTTTGTTCTAATTGTTCAAATAGCACTTTGTTTTGTTCTTCAATCTTTTGAATCTCTTCTTCACTTGTTTGTTTTTTTATTTCAAATTCTTTGCAGATTCTTGTAATTTCTCTTTCTCTAGCTTCTATATCGAGACCTCCTTTTTCAATTCGTTTTTTTAATTCTTTATTTTTTTTCTTTAAATCATTTAATTGTTCTTGTTTTATTGTACTTTCTTTAGTTTTTTGTGTTTTTTCTTCCATTTTCCTCCTCTGTGTTTCAATTTCTTTTCTTATTTCTTCAAATTGGTTTTCTTTTTCTTCAAG